AACTAATCTTGGACTTCAAGAGATGAACTTTGTGGTTCATTTTTAACCCCTCTTGTGGAGTGTTTAGAAAGTGTAGTTTCTAAAGATAAAATTTTCCAAGCAATCCCTGCGAAAAGTTTGTTGATGAGTTCTCAATTGGTACACATTCAAGGTGATATCTACCAAACACTTGAGACCGTTATATCTCTTCCTCCTCTCTTATCTTTTGGATATGTGGTTCATTCACTCAAACCACTATTTGTAGATCCACCATGATCTGAGTTGGTGGACAACTCTCTGACAAAGCCTTCTTGATAATGAGGCAAAATAGTCAAATTAATGACTATAAACAGACGCTTGTTGGGAGGCAATCCAATGATTTGTTAAATTTCTTATCTTTTTGGCATGTTTTAAGTGCATTTGTTTTCGTGTTGTAGGTTTAAAAAATAAAGGTAAAATGAGCACATTTCATAGAAGTTTGAAAACTAATGGTGCCCCAAACATGATAAATCACCTACTACGTTAGGTGAGTATTCCTTTTCTTTCCTTTTATCTTTTCACATTGAGAACAATGTATAATTTAAGTGCGGAGGTAAGGTTGGCTGGAATTGAATACATTCGTTAGTATTCATGTGAAAATTGATATATTTATTAAAAATTTTGGTAATTGGTGACATTAGTATAATTGAAATTTGAATTTGGAATTGTGGTAGGGAGAATGGCCCAAATATACGAAAAAATTCTATCAAAATTTTTTTTAAAAATTTTAATACCAATAGTGTCGTTGGTTATGTTATAGTTATTGATATGAGATTATGTGTAAGGTGTTTTGAAATTATTGTTATGTAGGTGAAGGATTTTAATTTTTAAGAAATTTAATGTCTTATAAAGTGGAGTTTATCATGTTGAGATTTTCTTAAATTCATGAAATGTATTGTTCTTGATTTGTTTATATAAATTGTGTGATTGGTATGATTGATGAATGTGAAACTTTTCTTGTGATTTTTTTCTTAGTTCTACATTTCGCAAGGATCAAATATTGTGTTTTTGCTTTCACAAAAGAAAAAAAAAAGAAAATTATATGATTGGTAATCACACAAACAAACATTTACTCTAATGATTCAAAACACTTAGTAATCGGGGATCGGCATCTACAAGTATCGACATTCATGTAAAATGGTGTTAGAATCAAGAGTATGCAAAGCAATAAGAGTTTGTGACTTGATTGAGTAACCATAGGCATGCATCACCAGTGTTTGTCTTTGCATCAAAAAACAAGATCACTACTCAAGTAAAGTTTGATGAGAAAGAAAAAAGAATGAAAAAAATGTATGTAATCAAAGTGTGAAAGTTTTTCTAGTTTCTTGTCCTTGTTTGTACAAGTTCGAAGGGGTGGTTACAAGTTTAGTTCTTACATTTGTTAATTATACTAGTTGCATGACAAGCATGATTGAATTAGGGTCAATACATGATATTGGATTTAATCAAATATTTGTATGATAAGTTTTTTTTTTTGTTTGATATTATGAGTACTAGAATTAGAAACCAAATCTTACATAGTGATCATCTCGTTTGTACCTTTAAACATTGTTTGAGGACAAGTAATAATTCAAGTATGGAGGTGTGACAAATGTCCATTTTACCTAATAATTTCTGCATATTTTAGTTCATTTATAACTAATTTTGAGTTCCTAAGACAATGTGAATGACCATTTTGACAATATTTGATATTCTTGAATAATTTTGAGAAGACTCGTGAATTCACTCCTTTTAGTTGTTAATGTTTACCATATTGTGATAGGGATGAAGGAGCAAGAACAATACGAGACCGTTTACAAAAAGTCATCATCGGATTGAAACAGAGTATACGGGGTCGGACAATGAATTTCGAGTCAAATATCAAATCAGATACTGTTATGATCCCAGAAATTAATAAAAGGGGAGAAAGAGGAGAAAAAGAAACGAGAAAGGAGAATTCATTCCATTGTAAAAAACTGTTACATCTCAGAATTTATCCTTCTACTTGTAGCTACGGTCAGAAGATTCTAGATCAGAATTGTCATGCTAACAATGCTTATTTTGTCCTACATTTAACGGTGATCCAACTGAGTCCTAACAGAATTGCAGCTAACTTCCTCACGTGCTTCACCCTTTGCCACGTCAGCCATGCAGCTGCTCACGTTCTTAGCTTGCCTCTTCATGGGAATGATCCGCTGGCCTGCAAATGCATGGAGTTGATGGTCATGCGGATCATAACAACACCCCCTCCTCAACACAATCCTCACTGGGATTGAACTGAAAGTTAGGGAACTGAGACCGAAGGACAGAGGCATCCTTCCAAGTGGAGTCATCTGGAGTCAAGTTTAGCCATTTAACCAATACTTGGAGCACCATCTGCCGCTTCCTCACCACCTCTCTAGTTGCTAGTATACTCTCTTGTGCAATCTTGACTTGGCCATCCTCGGTTGTCAGTGGTAGATCCTGGGTGGGACTAACTCCTTTGGTAGAAGGTTTGAGCAAGGATACGTGGAAGACAGGATGAATGGTGGAGCCCTCTGGTAATTCTAATTTATAAGCGACACTGCCTACTTTCTGCACAATCTTGTAAGGCTCATAGTACTTAGAGGATAGCTTAAGATTTCTCCTGAGAGCAACTGAAGATTGCCTGTATGGTTGCAGTTTGAGGTAAACTGAGTCCCCAATACTAAAGCTCCTTTCGGTCCTTCCTTTGTCAGCAAACTGCTTCATTCTATTCTGCGCCTTTAGGAGGTTGTCGCGGAGCATCTCATTCCACTTCAGTCAATCTCCTAACCATAATTCCGCTGCTGCCACTGGAGATCTTACCGCATCTAGGCCTAGTTGTGATGGGGGTAACCATACAATGCTTGGAAGGGAGTCATGTGTAGCACTGTGTGATAGTTAGTATTATACCACTACTCTGCTGCAGCTAACCATTGTTTCCACTTGTGAGGTTGCTGAAAACACAGGCACCTGAGGTATGTCTCGAGGCATCTATTCAACCTTTCCGTCTGGCCATCTATCTGTAGATGGTAAGCAGTAGAGAACTGTAGTTCAACACCTAGCTTGCCCATCAACTCCTGCCAGAAGGTGCTTGTAAAAATTTTATCTCTGTCCGAAATGATACTGAGTGGCATCCCGTGTAACTTGTGCACATTTTCAAAGAACAAGATGGCAACAGTAGAAGCTGTATATTTTGGGGTTAGTGCCATGAAGTGCCCGTACTTAGTAAACCTGTCAATGACGACAAATATGCCCACATATCCAGCAGACTTAGGAAGTCCCTCCACAAAATCCATGGAGATGTCCTGCCAAGCCTGGGTCGGAACTGGTAGGGGCTGTAGCAATCCGGGGTACTTACAGTTCTTCGGCTTATTCCTCTTACAACAGTCACAGTTCTACACCCATTCCTCCGTATCCTTCTTCATACCTGGCCAGAAAAAATGTTCCTTCAACCTGTGATAAGTACCCAAATTTCCAGAGTGGCCACCAATGGGGGACTCATGAAAACATGCTATCAGTTTCTTCCTTAGCTCACCCACCGCTGCAATGTAGATCCTTCCCTTGTACCTTAATATTCCTCCTTTTAAGGAGTAATCAGAACAAGAATCTGGTTGCATGGCCAGTGCTCTCAAAAGTTCTGTAGCCTTTTCGTCTCCCTTATACGAATCTATGGCTTCCATCAGCCATGATGGCTTAGCCACAGAAATTGTATTCACAGCTCCCTCCACGTCCCCTTCATCATCCTCATACCCCCTCCTCGATAAGGCATCTGCAACCAGGTTTTCTTTCCCTTTTTTGTAATGTATCTCGCAATCCAACCCCAGCAATCTGGTGAGCCATTTTTGTTGCAGAGGGGTAGAAATTTTCTGCTCTAGAAGATATTTAAGGCTCTGATGGTCAGTCCTAATGATGAAATGAGAACCAAGAAGATAATGTTTCCACTTAGTTACTGCTGTGATCAAGGATAGCAGTTCCTTCTCATAAATGGAGAGCCCTTGATTCGTAGGTCCAAGAGCTTGGCTCAGGAAAGCTATTGGTCGTCTCCCCTGCATGAGCACTGCCCCCAAGGCCTTGTGACTGGCATCGGTTTCCAGAACAAAATCCTCAGAGAAATTTGGCAATGCCAACATTGGGGTGCTACTCATCACCTGCTTAAGCTTCTGGAAAGCTAACTCAGCCTCTTGGTTCCAAATGAATCCATCCTTTTTGAGTAATTCTGTTAGAGGCTTGGTTATTGGTCCATACCCCTTCACAAAACGCCTATAATATCCAGTGAGTCCAAGGAAACCCCTTAATGATTTTACTGACTTAGGAACTGGCCAATCCACCATGCATTTAATTTTTGCAGGATCTGCCATTACTCCTTCACCACTGATAATATGACCGAGATACTCTACCTGGGACTATCCAAAAGTGCATTTGGAGAGCTTGGCAAACAAGGAGTGTTTCCTGAGGGTGTCAAGTACTATTTGAAGGTGCTTAAGGTGGGAGTCCAAGTCAGGACTATAGACAAGTATGTCATCAAAGAAAACAAGGACAAAGTGTCTCAGGTAAGGTTCAAAAACTGAGTTCATGAGGCTTTGAAAGGTGGCTGGGGCGTTAGTGAGGCCAAAAGGCATAACAGTGAACTCATAAAGTCCAAGGTGTGTTTTAAAAGCTGTCTTGTGCACATCATCAGGATGCATCCGGACTTGGTGATAACCAGCCCTCAAATCGATCTTGGAAAAGAACTTTGCACCAAATAATTCATCTAGCAAGTCATCAATGATAGGTATTGGAAATTTATCCTTGATGGTTAAGTCATTTAGTTGCCTATAATCTACACAAAATCTCCATATCCCATCTTTTTTTTTTGACTAACAGAACTGGGGAGGCAAATGGACTGTGACTGATTTGTATGATTCCATTGCGGAGCATGTCTTTGACTTGCCTCTCAATCTCATTTTTCTGGATATGGGGGTACCTATATGGAGCTAATTTGAAGGGTTTAACATTAGGAATTAGGGGTATTTGATGGTCACAGGTTCTTGAGGGGTGAGGTTGTTTGGCTCTCCAAAAACATCTTTGTAGTCCTTAAGTAAAGCATCTAAAGAGTGGTGAAAAGAGTCATTTACCTGAGCTTCTGACAGCCTGATGCCACACGACCTCTTCCATAGCTTGGTACTCCATTCTTCCCCTTCAATAGGATCTACTCGTAAGTTGAGTGTTGCCTCGTTAGTGTCCCCCTGCAGTAGCACCTGATCTCCATCCTTATCAAAGACCATGCTCAGGTTCTTGAAATCGAAAGTGATGGGGCTATGGGCTGCCATCCAGTCCACTCCCACGATCATGTCATAAGGCTCCAGGTTGAGGACGAACATGTTATGGCTGAAGGTTCTTCCCTGCATCTCCCATGTCATCTTGGGAATCATCTTCCGACACCACAAGTATTGACCATTAGCCACCCACACCCTGAAAGGCTTAATCTGTTGGACTGAAGCTGGGCAGATTTGAGCCACAGCATTGGTCACAAAGCTGTGTGTGCTGCCTCCATCCACTGAAATGGACATCTCCGTCCCCTGGTACTGCCCCTTCAATTTGATAGTGTTGTGTAGCATCTTTCCAGTTAATGCATGAATAGCAAACTCTACATCCCTCTTCCCTTGGTGCCCGTGGTATTCAATAATCTCCTCATCCCCTGGGCTCGCCGCCACCACATCTTCTTCTTCCATTGCCAACAAGAGGTGCATTTCCTTCTGTTTGCACTGATGTCCCGACCCATACTTCTCGCCACATTTGAAACACAAGTGGTAGTCCCTCCTATACTGTATTTCTGCGGGGGAAATTTTCTTGAAACTTTGTACGTTAGGCCTTTTACTTGCTGTCTCAATGACAGATTTGCTGGGAGAGCTGGTAGTGGTTGGGTAGGAAGTTGCTATACTGGAAGTCTTATGTATGGATCTCTGTCTCTTCAGAATCGATTCTAAGGCATTTTCCTGCAGCCTTGCTAGCTCAAAACCTTGAGTAAGGGTCTCTGGTTTGTGAGTTCTGACCAATGACCGCAACTCTTCCGGCAACCCACTCAAAAAACTAGAAACAAAATAAGATTCGGATAAATGAGGAACTCTGATCATTACCTCGGATCGTAAATCCTCGAACTTCTCCTGGTAGGCTAGAACCGTGGTAGACAACTGCAATTTGTTGAATTCCTCCACAGGGTCCATTTGTCCCAGCCGACCAAACCTTCGGTGTAATTCCTCAGAGAAACTTTCCCATTCGATGTTGTCTTTCCCTGCCTTGAAGCTTTGGTACCACACGTCTGCCTTATCCTCCAAGTAGAATTCGGCCAACCCAAGCCATTGCTCCTTGGGGATGCGATGCAACTGGAAGTACTTTTGTGTCTTCCTGATCCACTCTCTCGGTTGTTCTCCTTTGAAGACAGGTAATTCAAGCTTAATATTACCTGTAGAGAATCCAGCTTGGTAGCCCCTTTCCTGCTGCCCTTGGGCACCATTATCAGTACTCCTATTCCCACCCACTTCTGGTGTTCGTAGGAGTCCTTTATCTCTATTAGTGAGCTGAACAGTGAGCGCCGCCATGAATGCATCCAGCTTACCACTCAGCTCTGAGCTAACCGCATCGATCTTGTCTTCAAGACTCCTTTTGTCAGTGGCCATGGAATCCAAAATTCCTTGTATCAGGAGCTCTTGCTTGCGAAGTTGCTCTTCCATGGACTTCATCCGCGTACCTTCCGCCATGATTTTCTAGCTTAAGCCTCCTAGTCCAAGGACCGGTACCAACTGTTATGATCCCATAAATTAATAAAAGGGGAGAAAGAGGAGAAAAAGAAACGAGAAAGGAGAATTCATTCCATTCCAAAAAACTGTTACATCTCAGAATTTATCCTTCTACTTATAGCTACGGTCAGAAGATTCTAGATCAGAATTGTCATGCTAACAATGCTTATTTTGTCCTACATTTAACGGTGATCCAACTGAGTCCTAACAGAATTGCAGCTAACTTCCTCACGTGCTTCACCCTTTGCCACGTCAGCCATGCAGCCATGCAGCTGCTCACGTTCTTAGCTTGCCTCTTCATGGGAATGATCCGCTGGCCTGCAAATGCATGGAGTTGATGGTCATGCGGATCATAACAGATACCCGTTAGAAAATTTTGCAAGAGAAAGGGTACGGCATCAGATAGAGAGAGTCAAGTCAGATAATTGAGCCAGACACTCGTCAGAGAATTTTTCAAAAAAAGAGTGTTTAGCAGTATACGGCATCAGATAGTGAAATTTGATTCGGATACCGCGTTGTATATTTGAACAGAAAAAATTTTTTCATCCTTTTTTCTTGCAGCATCCATGATGTTTTGGCAGCAACTTTTTGGGTCCAAGACATCAATTTTTGTTAACTTTATATCATTCCATTTCACAATCTTGACTTTTTAAGACAAAAGGAACTTTTTGTGAAAAATTGAAGGAACTTGAAGATTATACATTAGAGGAACCTTTAGTCTTAGAAAGGAGTTTTTAGTTTTTAGTTAGTTTTAGAGAGAGACAGAGAGAGAGAGTTTTAGAACAAAAGAAAGAAACAAAAGGAGTTATGTCTTGCCCTTTGAGGCAAGACACAAACCCAAAGCACTTATAACTTTCTTCTTTATTTTTATTAGTTTATAGGACTAGTTTAGAACTTGCGTTATGCATATCCACTCTTGTATTGAGTCAACAAGAAGGGCGATGGAGATGAAGATGGAGAGGCTCAAGAAACTCTAATGACAAGGATTTTTCTTTTCTCCATCTCTTTATCTTTGTATTGGATTCTAAGTTTTGTTAATGCAAGTTTTGGATACTATGTTTGTGATGATGTTTTTAAAATTTATGTTTTGGGTATTTGGTTGAACTATCTATAATTTCTATGTGTTGGTTTCTTGATTATTTTGGCCTATTATCGTGATTAAGTTATTTAGCACTTTTGATCTCAAAATCATGATTAACTATCCATTAATTGTCATAATCTCAAGGTGTCAGATTTGCAATGAAAATTAAAATTTGACACTAGTTTCTAGAAGTATTAAACCTAGGGAGTACACTCACGAAAGTAGAGGTACACCTTTGTAGCTTGTTTTGTAGTAATTTCATAGAAATAAATAAATTTATAATTGATTTCATAACTACAAAAGTAGGTATGAATTAACTATAGATATGGTTGGTACACCAGTGAAAACGGGTGTCATGTACATAAGAAAATTACGTCATGGTTTAACCAAAATTTTAGTATTAATTTAGTTGGAAAGTTGCACTACCATGAGTAGATAAGAATTCCATTACCTAGGGAGCTTTTATTGTATTTTTCTTCCCATTAGTAACTTAGATTTGTTAGATGTAATTTGTTGATACTGTAAAATAATAGAGAAACTGTAGAAGTGCCGGTAGTTCTTCGTCTATCATGTGGGTTTGACCCTAATTACTCTATATTCATTCACAACTCGTATACTTATGAAAAATCGTGTGTGGGGTAGTTTAGAAAATTATAAATTCAAAATTTGACTATGGATTGAATTTGATTATTGCATGCATACTCCACGCACGTTAATTAACTTCCATCCAAATTATTGATGAAAATGACCAATTTATTCTCCATTTACAAGTTATATGGCAAAATACCATTTTTTGCTAGTTAAAATGGCATTAATTTTCACTTTGAAACACCAATTTTCTAATCAAACACATAAAAATAAGCTACAAGGTCAATTTTAATGACAATGGCGCCCGCATCATTGCTTCTGGTGGCCTTTTCAATTGCCTACTAGTTTCCTTTTTCTTTTCTTTTTTTTGGACTTGTGATTATTAAAAAGCCTGTTTAAGTAGGTGTAGTTTGTGCCAACAGCCATTTGGCTTGTTTGTCACCATCAAGACTTGATTGAGAATGAAAGGTCAAAGGGTCAAACCTTGCCTCTCACCGATCACTATTTGTGGCTTACCACTTTTAGTGGTTTCCTCCAATGGTATTTCCTATTGATTAGGTTTCCCTTTCCTTAAAATAGGATATAACAGATTATAGAAATGTTATTTTAAATACTAGGTGCTGTTTTGTAATCGGATGAATGTGCAACTCACACGCTACAGTCAACTGTTCGTCTATCAAGTAGCCTTTATCAAGGGTGTAAACTGCCCATAAACATGCTTTAGAGTGTAACGTCCAACAAGAGTAAAAGTAAATGGGGTTTTTCTGCAATTCATCATACCTAATATCTAATGATATGAATTATCTTTTTATGCGTCGTGACAAAGAGAGCCAAAGTACAAAAGTGTATATTCGAGATACTAAGATAACCTTAAATAGTAGGATCACATACACAGATAGCATAGGTAGAAAATGTCATTACTATTTAAATAGTTATGTATATGATATTCTCTAAGTGCATCAATCTAGCAAATTTGATCAACTTATCAAGCAAATATCATAATAACTAAGATCTACTTCTATCTTTAAAAGGAAGAAACACAATATATGTTAATCTATCCATATTAATAGTGTCCTAACTATTAATACTATACCTCGAAATCTATAAAAATAAACCTAATTAAATATATCTCATTATTAACACTTATGAGTATATTTATCTATATATAAGTTTATTTTAGAAATTTTATATACTTAATTAAAATAACAAAATAACAAAGAAAATGATAAGATAAAATGCCAATTTTTTTATATATAAATAGTTAAAATATATCATAAACGCTAGGCTTTGGGGTATACATATCAACAAACCCCCTATTTAGATCAATTGATTTATGACCTAATGGTATATCATCCTGATGTAAGTTTTAAGACAAACAATATCGTTTACCTGCCAAAAAAATAGTCAAAGAGGAAACCTATGCTGTATTGCACGTATCTATATCGTCACAAAGCATACCAATTTTGGCTATGTGTCATTGCATGCGTAGCTTTGTAAAGTAACGATTTGTAGCTTTTCAGAGAAACCTATTTAAAATGAATTTAAGTGGTAAGGCAGTTGTAGGTTACCACAAATAATCTGGTGAATCGCTCTCCATTCAAGTCTTTGTCGTAGAATACTATTCATGTTTTTGTACCATAATCTCTCTTATATTTTAAATCGTTGGAAAAATGAAAAAAAAATTAATTGATAACAGGATCTAGAGTGAAATATATGTTAATTTAATTTACACTACCGGAGAACCGGCTGGAATAGTCGTCCTTGAATGCACGCACCACACCTCCTCCTCCTCCTCCTCCTCTGACTGAGAAGACTCTGTCATGCATTACAATTACAAACTCTTTCGATTATTAGACCTTTGTTCAGAAGAAGAATATAGGCGGAACCTTCTTGGTTTTTTGCCCATCAATAAATAGTTTTCTCTTTCGATTTTATGTCTAAAAAAAAACAAAAAAATGTGTTAATTTAATTTACTAAAGTGAGAGAAAGCATTAAATATTGGATAAATCTTTGAGGATGAGCAAGGTTTTCGGATTTATGGTGGTAAGTACCCTGTAAAGTAAACGTCAAATTCGACTATTATTTTTCATAAAATACAAAGACAAAAAAGAATTGCAAAACTCAACCTATAACAAATGATCAATACACAGTTCAATATCCTACACGAATTGTCCGCAGGTTTAATTTCTTATATGTCATTTTAACTCAAGAAAGGTATATATTTTACTACGGTAATCACACTTTGACTCCCATCAACCAAAATAATATACACTTTGCTCTCCCTCGAAAAAATTCAACCGTTAGTTTGTGTAAGACTATCATGTTTTGAATTGATCACAAAACTCTAAAACTTCAATTCTGTTTTAAATGGAATATTATAATTATTTCATATCATAATAGATTTTAAAATTTTGTTATAATCCATTTATTGTTGTATTTCTACATAAATTTTGAAAAATGATTCCAAAATATTTGTTAATACAGTTTTGCCAAGAAATTTCTTTATTGGTGCAAAATTTATTGATTGCTCGTATTTTTTCTTCTTTGAGGTCAAAGATCTAATGTTAATGTTAAAAAATTTAAAAGAAATTAACATAAATGGAGTTATCTGTAATTTAATGTAAACAAAAAAACTATGGAAAACCAAGAATTCAAATTCAAGAAAACACTATAAAAATGGAGTTTAAAGCAATGTTGAAATTATTACGAATTTATTACAAGTTTCTTTTGGTCAATAAAATTTTGAAATATATTATATTAGCTTTAAGCATTATAAATTATATAAAACTTATATGTAACCATGGATTATTGAAGCAAAGTATATTATTTTTTCTATTGATGTGGAGGGTAAAATAGGATTTTTTGTCTTCTTAGTTCAAGGGGGCAAAGTGAGATCAATCCTAAGGGCAAAATTGAAAGATTTTTTTACTGTTTTGAGGCCGTTAAAGGGGAGCAGAGTGTGATTAATTCCGTTTTTTTTTTTTTTGTTAATTGTGGTTATTGTAACCACAGGGATTACATCGGATTGGATCCTCAAATATTGTCTCTATCTAATTGTAAAATGATAGCAATTACTAAGGTGGCGTTTGGTTTGCACTTTGAAATCAGATTGTGATTTAGGATCATTCATCTTGGGTTTGGAATGGAGTCAGTCATTCCACTTCATCTGTTTGGTTCAGTACCAGGAATGTATGTCATTACTATAGTTGATGTTTAGTTCGTTAGCTCTTTCGAAATAGGATACAGAAGATTTTCACTAATTAAATATATTAGTAAATTTAGTATAACTAAT